ACCATAGCGAAACCCAGAAAGAGAATCGAAAAAAAAAAATATTGGAAGAATCGGTTTGGAAATTTTAGATGTATTCTGGTAGAATATAAAAAAAGGTTCATTAAAGAATACAAGTAAGTTTTCCCGATATAATTTATTACTTCTACGTTGTAGTATCAGAATCTACGTGTAAGGCTCGAGCAAATTTTGATGTCCATATCTACACCTTTTAGTTATAATAATATCATATAATAAGCTATTTTATCAGATTTGTGACTTTTCGTGAAATCTTTTGTGAAAAATATTTATAAAATGAAAAAACAGAGTGTGGGTTAAATTTTTAAATGCTTGGTTTTTGAAAAAAAATATTTTTTTTTAATACCAAGAACGTAAATGTGTATACCCTACACAACTACACTGGTGGCCAAAACTAAAGCAACTAAAACTGAAGCAACAAACTTCTTCAGAAATAAAAATATCGTGTTGTTTTTTTTTTCATTTTTAAATGTGTTACATTTTTCTCTTAAAAGTAAAAATAAAGCATTAATGCAAATTTCATTCCGGAATAAATAATAATTTATGGATAAGGGAATTGTCTCAATTTTTGTTTAAATTTATGCTTTTTACCATCATAATTATTAGGTTTTGGTTCCAACACCTATTCCGATTCTTATAGATAATTTTTAAATGGATTTAATTACAATAACATGCGTCTGGTTTTCAATTTGGGCTTACTGCCAAAAAAATATAAAAATGGCTAGAAACAAATACAGTACTCCGACAAAACAGCTAATTACCAGCGATTGTGAAAATAATTTATCCCAGAAAATTATTTCGGAAAAATATTCGATGAATAAATCCATGATTTCTCGAATTAAAACGAATTATAGAACGTACAAACAGATGTTCTTTTGCAGCCTCCACAAGAACATCTGTTTGTACTGATCAACAAATTTTCATAGCAGTAAAAAATACAAATTTAAGAATTCAACGAAATTTGTAAATTGTTTGATGTAGTCTCAAGAATCGAGCGTGGACGAACTATGGTAGCAGGCATACATACCAGAAAACTATCAAGAAAATTATTTTTTATTTGAAATAAATCGGAAAACCAGAGGAATGTCTGTCGAAAAATCTCTTGGTAATTGGAATCCGACTCAGTGGAGAATATTATGCTCTCGGATGAATTAAAGTTAAACATTAAAGACACAGACATGAAAAAATTACCGTGGGAAAGTCCAAAAATGAAATGCTCATGCCACAGTATTGCAAGGGTATTGGGAATCATGGATGGAGTTCGATATATTTAAGAGATCTTATGCAAACGTGTTGGAAAACGCTATGGTTCCTTTCGCTCAAGAAAATATACCACTTGTTTCAGCCTGACAATAACCTCCAAACATACACCAAAAGATATCAAAAATTGGTTACGGGAGTCAAAAATCACGGTTTTATAATGGCCAACACAATCATCAGATCTTTACCCTATAGAAAAATCTTTGGAATATCATATTGCTATCTATGATACTCCAAAGATTTTTCTATATCAAAAGGTTTTTTTTCAAAGAAACAGACATAACATCCTCCCAAAGGTTTAGGAAGGATCAAATTAAGCATTTTATTGATACGAGGCGTTCGTAGGGGTGCTGCCGTTATGAAAAATACTGGTTATGCTGTCGATTACTAGCAAAAATTGCTTATTTATAAGAAAACCTGTAAGGAAAGTAGTAAGGTCAGACGGGCCGACTATATTATACCCTTCACCACTTTGGGTATATTCAACAGATGAATCCTAACAGATGTCGCATTTTTAAAGGACCAGCAAAATGAAATTTGATCTATAAACATGTCTTTCTGCAACCTATACTAATTTCTTTCATTTGGTCAGATAAAGAAGCTATATCTAAATCTGAACCGATTTCAACGATTTGAAGAAATTTAACATACATCATTCTAGACCTAATGCATTACGCTGTGCCATATTTCGTGCAAACCGAAAGATTTTAAGAAACTTTGGTACACCATTTACCTTAAATTGGACGAAAATATATATGGGAGCTATATCTAAATCTGGACCGATTTTCATGAAACTTAGCACACATCATTCTAGGCCTAATTCATTACGCTGTGCCAAATTTCGTGCAAATCGGTAAATCGGACGAAAATATATATGGGATCTATATCTAAATCTGAACCGATTTTTAGGAAACTTAACACACATCATTCTATTCTTCATTCATTACGCTGTGCCAAATTTCGTGCAAATCGAAAGATATATAGGGACTTTGGTGCACCATTTACCTAAAATCGGACGAAACTATATATGGGAGCTATATCTAAATCTGAACCGATTTTCATGAAACTCAGCACACATCATTCTAGGCCTAATTCATTACGCTGTGCCAAATTTCGTCCAAATCGAAAGATATATAGGGACTTCGGTGCACCATTTACATTAAATCGGACGAAAATATATATGGGAGCTATATCTAATTTCAATTTCAATAGGGTTCGTCCTTGGTCCAAATAAGTGACCTGTGCCAAATATCATCTAAATCGGATCATAAATGCGACCTGTACTTTGTTCAGAAAAATACATGGACGGACAATCGACTCAGAAAGTGATTCTATGCATATTCTCAAAAGGAACCATGTGTCTATCTCGTTTCCTTTTGCCTTCTACAAACATATGCACAAAGACACAATACCCTGTACCACAGTGTGGTGAAAGGTATAAAAATCCACGTCTGATAATTGTCCCAGAAAATAATTAAAAATAATCGACGCCTGCTTAGAGTCCTTGAAAAAAATTTTTAAAAAATCTACACCTGCTAATAGTCCTTGAAAATAATTTTAAAAAATCCACGGATCTTGTAATTGTTATACCCTCTGCCTTATGGCTAATGAGTGTATCATCGAAATATTGGATTTGAACCAAACTTTACCAAGCCTAAATCAAGTTGAAGATGGGACCCAATGCCCCACTCCTTGTGATACCTATCCTACAAATTTTCAATATTTATAAATGCAATACTAGGCGAATGGAAGGTTCGATTGGAACCTAACTGTGCACAATATACTATCTTTAGCAAATTTAGATCAAATCCGAGTATAAGACTAATTGGTCCACTGCTTCTGCTACCTCCTCCACAAATGGTCAAACATTCAACATTTTATAATCCGAACCTGTGTGAGATTCCGTAGAACTCCGCATACCATAGGCTGACGGTATATATTTGTCGGCAACACCAACTGACACTTTTCACTTGTTCTATCGAAAAAGAAGAGTTGTGGATGTAATTCTTTTTCTATAGATGACCAAAACTGTCCTTCTTCTTCTTCTAAAGATCTTTTGAAGGAGTCAATTTTCTTATTAAGAAGAGGTGAAGGTCTTCTTTTATAAAAAAAAAAATTAAGGGTATCCACATTCTTCTATTCTATTGAAGAGCCCAAGGAAGAGCTGAATGTACAAATCTTCTTTAGAGGAGCTGAGGGTATGCTTCTTCTAAAATAGGACAAAAAAGACCGTTGAAGTGCGAAGGGTCTATACTTCTATGGAGGGCTGAAGATCTCAATTTTCTTCTATTGAAGAAGTGAATGACGTCTTCTTTTATAGAAAAACTGAAGATATCCATTTTCTTCTATTGAAGAGCTCAAGGTCTCCTTCTTCTTCTTCTTTGTAAGAGCTGAAAATATAGATCTGCTTGTATAGAAGTGCTAAAGGTGCAAATCTTCTTTAAGGAATGTGAGGGTCTCCTTCTTTTTAAATAGAAGAACTGAAGGACCAATTAAGGACTTCTATGGAAGGTCTGAGGGTATACATATTCTATATCGGAAAACTTCTTGTAATGAATAAATTATTCTTCCTATATGGAATAGATGAAGGCCCCCTATTGTCGAGTTGAAAGTCTTCTTCTATAGAATCTGGAGGTATGTATATCTTCTATAGAAGTGCTGAAGGTCTCCTCATCTATAGCTGAAGTTCGTTTTATTTTATATACAAATTGGGTTTCTCCATATTCTTCTATCGAAGATCGCAAAGTATCCTTCTTCTTTTTTGGAAGAACTGAAGGTCCAAATATTAGGTTGGGGAAAAGAAATTCGTTCTTTTTTCGACAGATTTCAGATTTATGCTCGTTGGAAGGGTGACAATTCGCAGTAAATAAAATTATTATTATTATTATTATTTTTTTTTTTGGTGTATTCAGTTGTAAGTTACAGGGTGTTAAAATTTTTAACACCCTGTAACTTAAAAATGGAAGTAAACAAAGAGAAAATTCGGTACATGTTTACAGTTTTTCTTTCACAAGGGCGAAAATGCAAGTTAATCAGCTAAAATTGTGAATGGTGTTTATGGTTCCGATACTGTAACAGCCAATTAGGTTCAATTTTGGTTTCGTAGATTCAGTTCAGGTTTTTTGATCTTAAATGTCGATAAAATCGTAGACATAATCGAAGTTGACCAAGATTTTAGCAGCCGGAGCTAAAAATCGACCATAACTGTTTTAAACCATTTACAAAAAAAAATGGATTTCTTTTTCCCCAACCTAATATTTTAAAATAATCTCTACACACATGTCAACCAATTGCCCTCATCATAATAGCCAAGCATAAAGTTCACAGTTACATCGAACAAAAGGGAACTAACTTCATTGATTTATAAATTCCCCCGCCCTAATATTGATACCTTTTGTGAAGTATTATATCGTGATGATGATCTTACAGCCCATTCTCATGTAAATAATTAATTCAAATTCAAAAGAATGAATAAAAAATAAACATAAATATTAACAACAAAGTAACTGGTCGTATCCCACGACCACGAAGTGGTACAAGTCAGTTGTAATAAAATGTAAAATAAATAAAAAATTATAAATACATCTTTAGAAAATAAAAATATACAAATTATGTCAATATTAACTAATAGTTTTTGTCTTTTGTAGTAACAATGATTGTTGTATAGAAACTTTTTTCCAATGCATTTCCATAATAATAATTTCTGTTTTTTTTTTTTATTACAGTGCACGACTCAACTGGCAAACTTAACTCTGGCATCTTGAATGGCAACATCAATCAGTTGGGCGATTTCGATCAATGTCTGAGAGTGCATCAGCAACAAATGGTGAATGGTGGCGGCGATGATGATGCTGCAACGGGCTCCAATGTCGAAATGAAGGGACAATATTGTTTGGCTTATGCTCAACCCGAATTGCCACATAAATCGAAACGTTTGCAAACATTTTTCAATCTTGTCCGATCACATGGTCCATTCCGCAGTGAATTCGATGATGTAAGTAGTAGTTTAAACTTATTAGCATACACACATACAAATCTATTTATCTATCGATTTATGATTTTGGGTGGTGAAAATTGAGAAAGAGGAAAAATGAAAAGTGATGATTAAAGTTTTAGAGCTGTTGAAATTGGTGCAGGTTACAATGAAATTGTAAAATTAATGCATTGGATAGGGTTTGAAGCGTCGAATGGTGTGAAGAAATAATGAAAGAGGTAAATGCATTTGAAAACGGTATTGTCTTGTTGATTGAGATATATTAGAAATATTCATCTTAGGAGAGGTTAGTCAAATACGATAATGGTTGAGAAATAAGAAACAATATCAATATCGCTTGTAAATAGGGAGCTCTTCTCTACACTCAGATTCTTAGAATAAAAAAAACTTGCTGATGCGTGTATTATAGAACACAAATAAGAGTTTTCATTGACCTTTAGCCGAACTAGCAACTCTGTAGCCCTTCACCATGAAGTGGAAATTCACAATGAATTGTCTCAAATGTATTCCTCGCAAAAAATAAATAAACACCAACATTCAGTGATCGGTTGTGTTTTGTTTTGACATAGACAATCAGTCTCTACACCCAATTGGTGGGTGTTGTAACCGCGTGTTTGGTTGTTATAACAAACTGGGGTCATTTAGCATTCCATTGTTTGTTTATTTAAGACACTATATTGCAATTATAAAATTCGCATATGTATTTTCCAAAATTTTTCGATATAAATACCAGATATCAAGCTAATGTTGATACGAACAACATAACCTACCGAGTTACATATCTGTGTTATATTTGATGATTGCTCTAATAAAATTGGATGTAATTTTCAATTTAGATAATAATTGAGTGGAAAATAAAAAAAATGATCAACATTGGCGTCTCTTTCGGGCTAGCCCCCATTATATGTTTGCTGTAATTTGGTATTTCACATTAATTTATTAATTTAATTTGGTATTTGGTAACAAAATTATGCAAATTGGTCCTCATGTATAGTATCTCGCAAATTTCAATATTTTAGGGAGTTTGTGTACATTTTTTAACCAAAATAATTGTAATTTGATATTTTCGGCACGTTTTTAAGCAAAATAATTTTATTTTTGTATTTTGGATTCTCATTGGATAAAAAAATCTCCCTACGAAAAATTATCAACATTGACCCAAGTTTCTGGATAGCTTTTATTCGGTATTTTAGGAAATTTGGCCGAGTATGTCAAAACAAATGGCTCGCAATTTGATGTTTGATATTCTCATTGGGTACGTAATTTCCCAATAAAAAATATAGACATTGGCTCAAGGTTCGGAAGGGGGGTCATCACTCTATCACATTTTCAAATAGAAAATCCCACAACATAGGCCCAAAGTTTGGAATAACATGACATTGTAAATAAAAGTTAAGGGTCCAGTCCCTTTATAGTTGTTTAATGATCCTAGGCCATTTTCCTATCGAAGTGATTAAAATTTAACATTCCGTAACCATGGAGGATAAAGAACTTCTTTACAGAAAATTTTCAATAAAAGTCCATGTTTCCACATAGCCTTAATAACAAAGGTCGTACATCATGTTTGGTGTGTTCAAGGTCCTAGACCAATTTTTCCACTTAAATGTCTATAGTTTGGTATTTTGTTTTCTCCTGATCGTAATGTTTCATGGCGTAGTCTCGTTAACTATCGTTTTTATCTATTTTGAAACCAATGTCTCAAAATGACAATTTTACTATAGAATAAATCCTCAGGGAACTGAGATTTAATTATACCCTACACAACTATGTTGTCAGGGTATTATTGCTTTGTGCAGCCCCAAAAGTTTGTAACGCCGCGAAATATTGGTCCTAGACCCACCTTTAAGTATACCGATCGTCATATCTCGACTAGCTGAGTCGATCTAGACATGTGTGTCCGTCCGTCTGTCCATTATAATTTGTAAACACGATACAGGCCACAGTTATGGACCAATCTTCACGAAATTTTGCATGTAGGATGGGTTCGGTCCAATGAAGACCCCTATTGTTTTTGGTAAAGATCGGTTAATATTTAGGGGATGAAATGGACCAAATACTTAATTTTTGTCGGTTTTTCTGGTCGCTCCTGAGGCCGCAATTATGGTCCAAACATCTCGAATTTATATGGAGAAGGGGATTGGGCAAAGAAAAAGCATGCCTATTTTGATAAAGATCGGTCAATATTTAGCGGGTCAAATGGATCCTGACTTTTGTGTGAAAAATTACAAAATTTGTATTGTATAGCGTATATATTTACTCCTGAAGGACATAGAGCCGAGAAGTTGATAGTATATCCAAAAGGAGTTGTTGACCTTTAAACTGATGCCAATTATATTGTCGTATGTACTCGGATGCGGGAGTTACACTTAAATATTTACGGGTGCTTACATATTCAGATATTATTTAGTAACCCATTACCCCACTAGAGGGCGGAAATATAGCGCTGATGGCGTTGAATTGTTCCATGAGGTTCTAGTTATGGTCAAGGACAATGCCTATAATTTTCCGCGATGATCAGATAATAATATTGGAATGAGGTGGACCGAAAACTTAATTTTTTGTGTTTTTTTTTTCAAGTCGATCTACAGGCCTCAATTGAAAGCTCAACATCACAACATAGCACACGGTAAAGAGAATCTGGAATCTAGAGGGTGCTAGAGGGAAGGCGAAATATTGCCCAAGCTCTGAATACAGAACAATAGAAAGGTAGATTTTCGTCGAAGTTATGTAGGTTATCTTATGGTCGGCCCCGTCCGACTATACTGCACCGCTCACTGTTTTTTTTTTTCTATAGAAACATTTCCTGAGGTTTGATTTGTTTCTATGGAAACAATCCTCTGAGAACCTCAGATCTTCTATAGAAACAAATCAAATCTCAGTTCTTAGAGGAATTTTTTCTATATAAAAAAAAAACAAACCTCAGTTCTATGAGGATTTTTGTTCTAAAAAATCCTCAGAGAAGTGAAGTTTGATTTTTTCCTCACTCATCCTGAGAACCACACTTCTCTGAGAAATTTTACAATTTAATATTTTTGGTAGCCAGTAGGCTGCCTAATTTTTATGGAAGAGATTGCCGTTGCAGATTTGCTTTCAAAAGTTTTGGCCATACTTGCTATAAATGACAGTATCCTTCAAAAGGGTAGGATATTCGACTAGACAAAGTATTTTTTTAATTTTTTTCGTTGTACTTGTTTTGCTATCCGATATAATCATCTGGGCATATATAGTACGAGCTAATAATAAAAATAACATAATGTGTATATTATTTCCAATGACTTTGGCCGATATTTATTTCATATTGTCCATTCAAGTAAATTTATCTTGGGGTAAACATATATTGTCGTATATACCTAAAATAATATTTCAACTCCCAAGGTATATAATGGAACATCTGCATATTCTTGATTTAAATTGACAATTACCTTTTCATTGGTCGATTTTTCTTTAGAACTACTTAGTAATTTATCAGTCTTCAACAGATTATTTTTATTGCATCAATAATTATCCTTACCTGAAATTATAAAAATGAAAATCATATATTCTTAGTATACAATAAAATATTAACAAATTCTCTAAACAAAAATTGAACAATTTCAAGATGCTAATCACAATAGTCTCAAACTACTCTCGTTTCACCAGAACAGAAAAAAAACTTTGTGTTCCATTGTGATTCATTTTATCAACAAATTAAAGATTCTATTAGTATTATCATTTGAAATTAAAAACTTGTTTTATTATGGAAACATTCTAATAGAAAATTGTAAAAATCATAAAGAAATCATCATCACCCAGCTAATTGAAATGAAAACAGTTTGTTTCTTAAGTCTTTCGTTTCGTTGTTTCTATAGTTAGTATTCAAAACATAAAACTATTTAAACACCACAAAATTTTTATTTCTTTCATTGTTTCTATGCAAATCATTATTAGCTAGACTCATAAAACAAATTATAACATTCTCGATTTTATGTTGTCGGACCTGATTTTAGTTTGCAAAAAACCCAAAGAAAAAATCATTAAAAATCCCGATTTATTTTTTTTATTTTCCAACACTAAAAAATGCTGTCTTATACTGAAATTTTATATAGCAAACTAAAACTTTCTAACGGTCTTTTTTAGAATATCTGCCATAATTTGGGTTAGTTTTTTATTATGTGTTCTTGATACATAAATATTCTATAGGTCTTCTTTTGACGAAAGATAAAATCAAGAATAGCAAAATAAAATCTACAGAATTTGTGCATGCCTTCATGACAAATCAGAACTAGTGATAATGCAAAGTCAATGACACGTAGTCAAAGATTTTCATTGTCAGAGTTCAATATTGAAAATTTCAAAAACCCCTTTTTTAGGGTTGTTTCAATCGAAGTGGAGGTGTCTGTATTGGAAAATAGGTTTGAGGGCGGAGAATATTTTGAAAAATTATAAAATCATTTCAGATGATGAATATTCGGAATTTTCATTATTAGGCCAGCGATATATTTAGTAGCTCTCATTACATAAATTCACAGATCTTACATTTGATTTAGTCTGGAATGGTTATTTTTTTACGTAAAATTCTTAGTCACCCAATTGAATATATTCGGATGCCATGGTGAATGGTAAAAATATAAATTCATTAATATAAAATATTATTTTTCTAATAACATTAATAGTACACAATGCTAAAAATGTGCTAAGTTTCGGTTATTTTTATTTCATGCATATGATTTCCGAATAACATTTTTATTTTAAATAGCTCAACTAAAACTTGTTTTACCCTGGCGATTTTATTCTTATAGATAATGACTTATTGATAAATGTGCTTGCCGATGGTATTCAAACAACATTTATATAAAGATAATAAAAAAATTGTATATACTCCATAATAAAAATAAGAAACATTTGTTTGTATATCCATTCTTATCGAATGGCATGAGCTTTTCAATGTCAAAACTAAATGGTCTTTAATTACGCTACTATGACCATTACCAATATTAAAAAAAAACTAGACCAATGTTGTG